CCCAGCCCGCACCTGCGCCGGGCGCAGGGAAGGTCTGGCTGCATGCGTCCGCGGGGGTCTCCGGGTTTGCGCGCACGGCCCCGTGCAGGCCCGGGATACGCAGGCGGCAGACGGCACCCGGCCGCTCACCCTCGGGTCCCGCGCGCGGCTGCTTTCGCCCCCGAGGCTCTCCCTCCCGGTCCCTCTCCACTCCTGCACTTCCTCCTTCTTGCTCTTTCAGTTTCCTCTTTGCTTTATTGCTTGATCCAACCAACTTACACTTCTAAGGCACTTGGAATGAAGTCGCAAATCAAACAGGGTTCTCTGGCTCACGGGGAAGTCATTCGCTCTTGTGACCCGCGTGCCTGGCCTCGGGCTGAGCCCCGAGCGAGCGTGGCCCCTGTCCGCTGGGAGTCCCAGGGCGAGGACACGCGCTTCGCCCGTTATCGCAAGTCTGGGTCTGGTCACCCGCTGGGGCCGCGCAGAGTGGCAGGAAGGAAAAACGCGGGGCAGAATGTGTGTGTCAAACCGGGGACCTGAGGCGGTGGGATGGGGCCCCGAGGAGGTCTGTGGGAGACAGGAGCTGAGTGGCTCCGGGATGTGTTACGGACTCCAAGGGAACAGTGCGTGGGTGGGTTCTCGGGGCATGGAGTGGGATGGCCTGCCCACCACCCATCTGTCGCTGTCCTAGAACCTACTGCTTTCATGTTCCAGAATTCGTATTTGTTGTGGCCTAGAATCCTCCTCATTTGGATTCAGGATCCACCTTTCAACCTGCTGCCCGAATCCACCCCGTGCTTGGTCTAAGAACCTCTCTCTATGATGGAGGCCGGGAACCCACCTCCAGATGTCATAGAGCCCACCCTCTCCTGCCTTGAATTCACATCATCTCTGTCACCCCTCCCCTTTCACAGTTCCACAGGCAGAACAACAGTTTTTCTCTTTTGTTTTACTAAAATAAAACGCATACATTGGGCAACCATAAAATGCACCCAGTTTTGCTCAAAATGCGGGTCATCAGCACAGGCACAGGACTTAGAAAGGCTTAAACGGGACCTCTTTCTCTGCCGTCTGCCCGCAGTTGATGAGCTTTGGTAGGTTAGAGAAGGTAGGGAGACATTTGTCCTGCTTCATGTTTGGAAAGTTACTCAAAGTTATTCATTCGGTTACAGCACCACCATGGCAGACTAGACAAAGAAAGCTATTTTTCAGATGGTTGTAAATGTGTGCTCCATTCCTGGACCGTACCATCTGTAATACATTATGAATTAATACTGTTTGCAAATCCTGTCATTATCTTTGACCAGTGCAATTAACCTTGCTCTGTATTTGTTAGGACTATGTATTTGTTCAGAGGCAATATTATACACACCGTTTTGCTAACCCTGCTGGCCATTTCACTTTTTTTAATTTGCTGGGAGTCTTGAAAATGAAAATGACTCAGGGCCATTGTCAAGCTCCGTGACCTTAGAAGGTGAGTTCTGCCAGAAAAGGGTAACCAGGTCTTCCAGCATGTCACTGTACTAATGGAGAAGCGGAGAGGAGGACCAAGTGCATCTAAATTGCCTGCCTTCAGCGTGGCTGCCACCTGCAGCTCCCACCCTCTCTGTCTTGCCTGGGGCAGTCGTTCCAGCCCACTGTGACACTTCACAGCCTATCATTACTCCATCTCAGACACACGGGGCCACCCAGTTCCCAGCGCTGGCACACTCTCTCTGGGGCCCACAGCAAGAGTATGCCTTGCTCCATCAAGGTGGCAGCAAGCAGGAAGGGTGTGTGTAGGCGGGAGAAAAGGCTCCATTGGTGCATTCAATGAACTGGTATGGTTACTATGCATAGCAATTTGGTATTCTTTGTTAAAGCAGTAAAGACGTGTACACATTTAAGAAGCAACAGTTTCATTGCTTTCATTGTGTCAACATAGAGAGGTTCTAAGGCAGATAGAGGAAGTGTTGTGTTTTCATGTGATAGAAAGCTGTGATGCTGTTAAAAGGACGTAGAGAAGCCGGGCTTTGTGGTCCACGCCTGTAATCTCAGAGTACAGGAGGCTGAGGCAGGAGGACAGTGAGTTTAAAGCCTGTCAGAGCGACAGAATGAGACCCCATCTAAAAACAACAAGAAAAGAAAGGATGAGGGGTAGCTCTAAATTACAAAGTGAAAAAAGCAGACTTACACGTATACTTGTGGTCTCACCTGCCTAGGACACACACACACACACACACACACACACACACACACATACACAAGTATGCACCTTCATTTATTTGACAACAGGGTGGGAAAGCATGAGGGAATACACTACTATGTTCTTTGGTTTAAGCTCAAAATGCTACATGTTTACAAATGCAAAATATACTACACAGAAGAAGTACTTCAAATCCATAGAGTTCTAACTTCTGGAAAGGCCTAGAATGAAAAAGAATTGGGAATTGTGGACAAGGGGACCTCCTGCATTTTCTGTAGTGTTTGCATTGGATATTTTTAAAAGCATTTAAATGCCCCCAGAATGCGCAAGAAGGTACTAGGATTATCCACTCCCCTTGTCCTTTGACCACTTAGTTCCCTGTTCTTTTTAAAAATTACTCTTGAATTTTAAAAATAAATGAATATTTATTTATTTATTATTTCCTCTGTTCTTAAGACAGCCAGAAATTTATAACAAATTTCTTATTCTTCTTTCCAGGAGCATGCTATGCATTTGCAAATGGACAGAATAATTTTACTTTCTTTCCCCTTCTGTGTTTAATTTGTTTTGTTTTTTTTGTTTGTTTGTTTTGTTTTTTGTTTTTTTTTTTTTTTCTCCGGTACCGGGAACCGAACTCACGACCTTGCGCTTGCCAGTCAGGCGCTTTTGCCGCTGAGCTAAATCCCCAGCCCCTTCTGTGTTTAATTTGTCATGCAGAATTGGCAGCAATCAAAATAAGTTACCATAAGGGACTGGTTAAATATAAATACCCACGGGATAACCTGTTATACAGCTACTTATAATCATATTTTTGAAAATAGTTTCATGATCTAAAAACATTTTGATCAGTTGAAAAAGTATGTTATGGTTTATATCTGGATGCTCCCCGAAAGCCTCTTGTGGTCATAGGTGGGGATTGGGAGGTGATTGGATCACAGGGGTGTGATCCTCATCAGTGGATTATTCTACTAATGTGTTTATAGCTAAATGTGATCTTGGGAGGTAGAGCTTGACTGGAGGAGGTGGATCACTGGGGATGTGGCCCAGAAGAGTGTGTCTCCCTCCCACATCCCTTAATCTCTTCCTGCTTCCCCCCACCACACGCCATGAGCTGTTTCTCCTCTACCTTGCTCCGCTACCAAGCTGTCCTGCCTTGGAGCTAGCTGACTATGGACTGAAATATCTACAAACTGGGAACCAAAATAAACCTTTCCTCCTTAGAGTTGTGGGTGTTGGGTATTGTGCCTTAGTGACAAGAAAGTAAGACAAAGGAGGTGACAAATCTATTTATTGAATATATCTTCAGTTAACAGTTTTTACAGTGCTGTAGATTTCCAGTTAAATCTTTTCTCCTTTCTTTTTCTTTCTTGCTTTCGTCCTTCTCTAGTGCATGTTTGTAGTAGAGGATAATGACGTTTCTTTTGGGGAATTGCTACACTCATGTAACATACTTTGATCATTTTCAATCCCTTTACCCACCTCTCCTTCTCCTCCCCATCCCTGATCTCCTGCCCCAGTCCAAGTGTATCCCTTCTAGTTTCCTATCAGCTGTCATTTATTTATTTATCTGTTTATTTATTTATTTATTTATTTATTTATTTATATTTCAGGTTTCTCATAGAAGAGAAAATGTGATATTTTGCTTTCTGAATCTAGTTTATTTTGCTTCTGAGTTCACCTTTGTGAAAGGGGTATTCCTGTTATTTGTGATATTAAAATGGATTTTTTAAATAAAAATTTAAATAACATTAAAAATTATTTTCTAAGCAAAGGATTGGTCAACACTAGATTTCTTAACAGACTACATCATATTAACAAATTAAAGGGGTATGACTACTCTATCATCCTAATAGAGAAAGCATCTGACAAGTCAAACATCCATTTGTGATTAAAAAGCCTACAAACTGGGAATATAAGGATCTTTTAAAATTTGATTAAAGCTGGGGATATAGCTCAGCGACACAGTGCCTGCCTGGCAAGTGCTAGGTCCTGAGTTCAATTCCCAGTACCAAAAATAAAATTTTTTGATTAAAATTATCTGTGAAAATTTATCACACTACATATCAGTATTCCTCAGGAGCATAGACACAAAATCCTTAACAAAAAATTATCAAATCAAATCCAGCAGCATTAGAAAGAATAACACATCTGTATAAGGAAGAATTTGGCTTGTTTCTGGCCCAGTTCCTGGGAGGTGACCTTTAAACCCTTGGAGTTTCCTGAATGGTGACAGTATCTTTATCTTTACTATTATTATTTTTTCTTCTTGTGGTACAGTGGATAGAATTCAGGGCATCACTCATGCTAGGCAAGTGCTCTACCACTGAGCTACATCCTCAGCCCCAAGAGTGTCTTCATTATTTGAGATGGGCCCCTCAGGCCCCACCCGAGAGTTAGTGCTAATGAGATAACTCAAGGGGCTCCTGGTTAATTTATCCTAATGGGATGATTCCAGATGGGGGTTGGCTGCACCAGAAAGACCAACTATGTGATTAGAGAGTTGGGATTTGAGCTCAACGAGACCAGCTGTATATCTCCAGGGAAAGGATGGGGCTAGAATATGAGGTCAGCCACATGCAATGATTCAATCATAGCTGCATAATGACGCCTCAGTAAAAATTCTATATCCTGAGGCTTGGGGGAAGCCTCATGTTCAGGACCTTCCCAGACCTTGTGCTGAGGCTCTTCGCTGGTGGTGATTTGTGTCCTTTGATATGAAAAGACTATAATTTTAAGTGTAATGCTTTTTTTGAATTTGGTGAGTCATTTTACTGAATGATCAGACCTGAGGGAGTCTCTTGGAACCCCCAAATTTACATCCAGCTTGTAAGAACGAAGGTTGGCCTGGGGGCTCCCATACTCGAAGCTGGTGTTTCAAGTGGGCACAGTCTTGTAAAGAAATATACCCTCAGGCTTGTAGTTTGTGTTCAATTCAATGTCATATTGCCAAGCTGGGTAACCCATGAGTACAAGGCTGGTTCAACGTTGGAAATTAATCTTGCAGCTCACCTTATTGATACAATTACTTAAATACCCTGTGATCATCTTAAATGTACAGAAAAAGAATTTGACAAAATTCAACACCCTTTCATCATTAAGAACTCTCAACAAACTAGGAGTGGAACTATGTCAATTTGATGAGGAGAATTCAGATAAAATTATGAGGTCTCCTAAAAGTGTAGTAAAAGTATTATTTTGCAGAACTTTTGTTCCACTTTGTCTTTGTGCAGGTGTGAGCATGTGTGCATATCGCACTAGGTCCCCGTGCGATAATTAAGGTACATTTCTGATCGTGGTGGTAGTCAGGTAAGTTTGAAAGCCTTTGCCCTGGAGAAGTTCTCAGAGTAAGATACTATGTTCAAGAATGTTCACTGCAATATTTTGTGGAAAATTGGGGGCAATGAAAGTTCATCCAGAGGAATATGCACATATAAATTCACATTAAAAAGATGATATAGTAGTTAAAATACACAAGCTAAAACTAAATGCCTGAACACAGCTAAAGCTCTGAAGCATAGTGTTCCATCAGAAAAGCAAATTACAGAGTAGAATGTGTAGCATTTTATACATATGAATTTTCTTCCCAGGGGAAAAAGTATGCATTAGTATATATATTAATAGAAAAACATTTGCATGGGGTTGCTTAATACAAATTCAGGGCAGTAGTTCTTTCTGAAGAAAAAGGAAGGCAGAGAGGAAACAGGACTTGAGAAGGACAAGGGGAACTTCAATAATATTTGTGGTATTTTATTCCTTTAACAATACTAAAGCTGCTAAGTCATGCTAGTATCGCCTCTCACTGCAACAGCCTAAATCAGGGATTGGAAAACTTTAGCTTAGAAAACAAATCTGGCTTGCCACATGTTTTGTTAATAAAATTTTATTAGAATATGGTGCACACATTTATTTACATATTGTATGTATATACTGCTTTTAGGAAGTAATGACAGAAAAGTAGCTACGGAGATGATGGGCGCAAAAAAGTAAAACCAAAGCAATAAAACAGAATGTAAAGATTTGGTAAAGGTGACTGGTAAGTTTACATACGTAAATGTCTTCTATTTTCTCTCTGCATGGTTGAAATATTATACCGTTGTAAATTATAACCTGGTATTTTGACTAGGTAAAATTAACTTTGTTTTTGAAAGCTTGTGTTATGCATGTCCAATACAACTCGGGTTATTTGGAGGTACGTGAGAGCAAGCATTTCAAGCGTGTTTCAACTTTGAGGTCCCATGAGACAGTGAGAGCAGGAGACAGAGAAAGTGGGGGGACAGATGCAGGTTCATGTTTCCCAGTTGTTTTTCTCTGAGCACCTTGTCCCTTTTCTGGTTTACACATTGTCCTGCATGTGGAAGCTAAAAGATCCTAAGAGTAAAATAAGTTAACAAGCCACTATCCTAGGTTACTCCGAATAAAATCTAGGAAGCTTTGCTTTAGGAAATAATGAGATAAACTGGAGTTGGAAATTCTAGAGATAAGTTTGCATACCCCACTCCAAATGGGTTTATCATGCTGGATGATACGATGTGGCTGGTTGGCATAGATGCATGAGTAATTCTATCCATCCAGAAAACAGGGTTACATGCAGGTGTTACAAAGTGATGAGTGTGTTCCAAGCACAAATCTAAGTCACCTTGAGCTGATCCAATAAAGTGCTACTAACACCTATTTGGGGTTTGAACAGATAGTGAGCTTCCTGCTTGGAGTGCGGGTAGGTGGACGCAGACAGTAGCCTATTGCTCGTGAAGCCAGGGAAAGAAAAAGACACTAGAATAAGTAGATCAATTAGACCTCTTCCCAAAGCTGACTGGAGCTTCTGCCTCCTGTCACTGAGTCACCCTGCTCTTGCTTCACCCCATTACCATCATCCAGATCACTCCAGTCATCCCACGCTCTCAGAAGGCACTGGGAAGGCTACGATTCAGTACTCTGTGCTTGCAGCTTGGACCTAGGTGTGATAATGTTCCAAGGTTGTGGGAGCTTTGAGAGGTGAAGCCTAGTGCGAGGTGATTAAATTGCTGGAGTGCAGACCTCAGGAAGGATTAATGTCGTTGTCAAAGGATCCTTGTTAATTCCTATGAGAGCAAGGTATTGTAAAAAGAGAAAGGCTGGGCCAGGCATAGTGGCAGGCACCTGGAATCCCAGCACTTGGGAAGCTAAGGCAGGAGGATTGTCACAAGTTCAAGGCCAGCCTGGGCTCCATAGTGAATTCAAGAGCAGCCTGGACTGCATAGTGAGACCCGATCTCAAAAAAACCACACCTCCCCTGAAAAGAAAAAGAGCAGGGCTGGCCCTAGTATCTCTCTGCTTTTTGTCTTGCCATGTGATCCCTCCCTCTTGCACATGCCCTCGACATAATGCCATATTATGACAGAGCAAGAAATAGGACCCTCCCCAGAAACCAAACTGATAGACTGTTAAAATGTAGATTTTCAGCTTCCAAAATCATGCGCTAAGTAAACCTTTCTTCCTTACAAGGCCTCTAACTTCAGGTATTTTGTTATAACAACAGAAAACTAATAACATTTGGCATAGGAAGTAGATACGAGCGCCTCCGCATATCCCAGATGGAAAAACAGAGATGAGAAATGAGGCCAGGTTCCAATAAAATTTTGAGAGAGTCAGCCCCATACAAAACTTGGAATTGAATTCCGCACCTAAATAAACTAGATCTTTGACGACATGCTTCATTTCCTACATCCATGAACCTTCCTTGGTGGTAATAGGCTATGACCAGTTATAGACTAACGTTTTTGCACTCCACTGAGGGTGACATTAGAATTATTTAACAACCAGTACACCATAATGTTGGCCATCAGGATAGTTGCTGGCTGTAAAAACAGGCATAACTTTATCAATTCAGAAAGACCTACACCAGCCTTAGATCAAGTGACACAGAAATTTAATTTTCGACATTTCAGACATGCTGCATCTGAGCCTGGGAGCAGACGTGCACCTTAGTGTTTCCCAACTGGCATGGACAAATTTCCTCCTGTTCTGATAGCATGTTTTCTCTGTTCCCAACAGAGAGAAATTCAACATATCAGCTCCTTCTAAACTCCAAGAAGCCTATTGGGAAGGCTAATCATTTTTCCATTCACTGATTCAACACATAATTATTGAGTGTATAGCATGCTAAACCCACTGACTAAATAGCAGCCATTGAATACAGGCAGCCTCCGGGTTACACGCAGCACAGAGATATGTTTAGTGTGATCTGGATAGGTTTTTCTTTTTTTTTAAATCCACATTTAAAAATTAGGGAACACTACATAAAAAATAAAAATTTCCAGCTCATCTTGAAAAATGGCAAAATCTGTTCACAATGGGCCCGATTTCTGTGCAATAATAAATTGGCTGGTGTGTGGTTTGCTGTATAGCCACTCAGTGCCCATTGCCTCCAAGTACCAGTGGCGACTGTCACCTGCCGCCCTCACTGTCTCCGCTCTGTGTGAGCATGTGAGCATTCACAGCAAGGAAACCCTTCCCTGCTTCCATGCCTCTGTCAGAAGTGAGGAAACGAAAGCCAGAGCAAGGGCTGCGTGATTTTTATGAGCTTGGCCCCTTCCCCTGTTTATGATACCTGTCATGTTCCATAGACACTTGAGTTTGTAGCTCCCAGAGCACAAGGATGCCAAATATTTTTTAAAATGAATGTCAGCCTCAGGAGTTTACAGGAGTGAGGATTAAACTTGACAGCCTGTGTGAATCCCCACCCAGGCCCTGGTAGCAGGCAGAGTGAAGGAACGCAAAGGCTTGAAAGTGAGAACCAGCCTGCAGTGTTTGGGGAAGAACAGCAAGGCGCTGTGGCGGGGCAGATGCGAGGGAGCATGGAGGGCGACGATTGTGGAAACTTGGACTTTATCCTGAGTGCTGGGGCATGGATTCCACTCAGTTCCTCCACATGGTCCTTCTCAGACTCGGCTCTTGGCATCCCACGCAGGTTAGGGTGGCAGCAAGGGCAGCAGAAAAGAGAGGAGGTGGGTGCTGTATTGTGTGCTTTTACCGATGCTAGTAGCGTGACTCAGACACATAGAAGTGAGGCAATGGCAGCTCCCATTGAGTCTTTTCAATAAGGTTGAGTAAAGGAATTAGGCAATGTTATGGTTTGAATATGAAGACTCCCTCAGGGCTCATGTGTTAAGGATTTGATCCCCAATACGGCAGTGTTTAGAGGTGAGGCCTAGAGAGGTGGCTGGACTATAAGGGTACTAATGTCATCAAAGGATTAATCCACTAAGTTCACTAGTGAAGGTGCTGTTACGAGGAGGGGGGCGCTCTTGAAGGAAGAAGGTCCCTGGAAGTGAGTCTTTAAAGGGTGTGTCTTTTCTTGGAATTTTCCCTGGCCCCCTGCTTCCTGGCTGCCATGAGCTGAGCAGCTTTCCTCCGACATACCCTTTCACCACGATGATGTTTCTGCCTTGGATCCAGGCGACCACGGACCTCTGAAGCTGTAAGCCAAAGTAAATGCTTCCTTCTTTAAGTTATGCATGTTAGGTGCTTCTCCCCAGCAATGGAAAGGTGGCAAACACGGGCAGATTTGTGTGTGTGTGTGTGTGTGTTATACTGGAGACTGAACTCAGGGGCATTCTACCACTGAGCTGTATCCCCAGCTTTTTAAATTTTTTTTTTTTTCAGAGCGGTCTTGCCAAGTTGCCCAAGTGGAATTTGAACTTGCAGTCCTCCTCCTTCAGCCCCTCCAGAGTGCTTGGATTACAGACATATACCACTCAAAGGCAAGACTGAAGGACACATCAGGATGGCACAGTGCCCCACAGCTAGTCATGGAGAAAGTAATAGTTACCCCAAGGGGGTAACTGAATGACCACAGGGGGAGGAATGGCAACCAGAACTTGGAGAGAGAGAGAGACAGAGACAGAGACAGAGACAGACAGAGACAGATAGAGACAGACAGAGACAGAGAGAAAGAGAAAAGGCTTAGAGAAAGCTGGGGGAAGTGGGAGGAACCTCTGACTGTTGTTTTCTTATCTCCTACCCAGGTTCCCATGGGCTGTCTCCATCTGGAAACCAAAGAAGAGGAGCCCATTGGTGGTGTTCACATAGTCAGCCTCCTGGGCATTGAGATCAAGATGGCCAGGCAGTAGCCATTTAAGATCCAAGAGGAAGATATCAGCTTACCACCCAAGACACAGGACAAATACGTCATACCCTAGATTGGAGCTGTAGGGCTAAGACTCAGCTGCGATGTCTGCTAGCAACAAAATATAATCCGATTCCTCCAACTTCAGTGCAGAGCAACTTCCTGGTTTCAGGAAGCTCAGGGGCCAAAGCAAGGGAAAATTTTGCCATCTGGTATTGGAGATAAACTATTCAAATGCCAAGACAGAACAGCCAAGATACAGCAAGAGGCACCTTCGATTGGTCGGCTATCTCTCGAGAGATGTCCCTGATCTGCTATTACTGGGACCTGCCACTCCTGTAAAATGCTGCCTGGAGATGACTCACCCAGTCAGTGTCCAAACCACTGCTTCTGCAGCACACCACCCCATTCCCTTGTTTTCCTCCCTCTTTCTGCAGCTGCAATCTGAGAAGCATTTGGAGTCCCCAGGGAGGAACCCTGGGACCTGGATTCAGCATCCTTGCCTGGCCAGCTGCCTTTGTACACTGCAGGTAGCCAGAATTTCTTGAATCCCAGGGAGAAAGAAGCAAGTCTGAGACCAGACAGTGTAGGTTACCTTGTCACTGGTCCCATTCCTAGAGGGAGCAAGGTGAGTCACCTGAATCAATGTTATAAGCTCAGACCCAGCAGATGAATTTAGGACAGCTCCATGGAGCTACATGTGCTGTGCATTTCTCATTAATTAATTTGATTTGCATGCACTTGGGAGTTTGCAGAAGCCTGAATTAGGTGCACCAGGATTCAGTCCAGTTTTCTTTCTATAATTTTTTTTGTGCAAGGTTCTTTTTTGCTGTCTTTTTGTCTGTATTTTTCCCTTGCTTGTACTTGTCTAAAGTGGTAATTTATCAGCCCTGCCAGATTCTATCTCATTGCTTCAGTGGTGGAGTAGGAGGGTGGTCAGGTCACGATGTGATTGTTATAAACTCAACCTACCGTTTGACACATTTGACCTACCTAGAATTGAAAGGCTGTGTACTCAAAGTTCCTCTGAGTCTTCAGCAGGCAAAGTTGTCATGATTTCTGTCAACCTGAAATGCACTGTTCAGAATTTTTGCCTTTACAAACTCTTGCTTGCATTGGTTAGGGAAAATAAAGAACTTTGGACTCAGATAGAGGGTTGAGTCCTATACCCAGTTCTACCCATCCCTGGCTATGTGGCCTTGGACATATATTACTTGTACTTTCTGGGCCTCCATTGTCCATCTGTAACAAGGGGATTTTACTAACCTCAGAGTACTGTAGTGAATACAAATCACTAACACACACTAGAGTTTAAGGAAGATCAAACATTTTAGTGTCCTGTGTTGTCAACCTCCTTATCCTCCAGAGTACACACACACATTTTTAACCTTTTTGGTGCAAGCTGCTCACTCGTGGATCTTGCCCCAGGAACCATTACAGTTTGCCTGAACATGAACTTCATCTTTGTTCATGGACCTCACTATTCCTTCATGCAGCTGTCACCCAGCCCTCCCCAACACTTTGGCCACACTGAGTCATAGAGTGTCATGCTGGCAGTGCCCTGTTGGTTTGGGAAGTTGTAGATTCAGAGCCATGAGTTGGAAGAACAGGTGAGGGATTGTGGAATATGCAAGAATGGGAGAGACTGGGGCTCAGTAGCAGCTGTGAAACACTGTGGAATTGCTGAAACAGCCAGGGAATGAAAACTAGGCCTCCCTAATGGGACCACACAGGGAATGTTGAAGGAATTCACTTGGAACCTGGGAAGTCCTCAGTAAATATGAGAGAATGGATGGGTTTGGATGAAGAGATGGACTGGTTAAATGGACGAGCCAGTGGTGGCTTTGGCAGGACTAAGCTCCTGCCCAAATGCCCCTTATCAGAAGGGACCTTCTTGACCTTTGACAGACACCAATGTTTAACCTGTCCCCTTGAGCTCCAGCCAGCCTGGCCTTCCCAAAATGATCCCTCTTAGATTGCATATTTGTTATATAATTATCTGCTTATTTTTTGCCTCTGCCATCAGGATGTGAACTCCACAAGGGCAGATACTTTGTCTCTTCTGTTCTCTCCTTCATCTTCCATACTTGGAACAGAGCTAGGCACAAGGCACTGGCTCAGTCAGTACATCTAAATTAATGATTAAATACAAGAGCAAGACATGGGTAAGTGAGGATAAGGCTGCCTGGGGAAGAGACCGGCAGTGGTTCTCAAATGTACACAACCTCAGACTCACTGGAGGCTGAGACGACATGCAGATTCCCTGGCTTGGATCCTAACCACTAGTTCAGAGTCTCCAGGCTGGATCCTGGGAACCTGCATTGATCAGCTCAGGTGATTGGATTTGGTTGTGGATGTTTCGAGGATTGCACTGAAAAATACTGGACTTGCTTTATAGAAATGGATGGATTCTTCCAGTGATACCACTTTTCTACATGGACTTCTCTCTGCTTGTCTCAGAATCCCTTTGCAACATGTAAACACTGGATTTAATAGCTCTTCACATCTTCGTAGATCACCTGGGTGAGGCCTGCCCAAAACAAGCTGAAGAAAAGAAAGATACAACTTTCTCCAGATTGCTCAATCCAAAAAATGATGCTCTAGCCTCCCCCAACACTCCTTCCCATATGTTTTACTTGCTTGCACACTACTGAAATACTTTTTATCTTTGGATCTTTACTGTTTGCTACCTAATAGTCTCTGTTTCCTTCTTTCCAAATGATTTTCTGGGTTAAATTGCTCACTCTAGAGAGTAAACTTCAAGGACACAAATTGCAGCTTCTGTTTTAGTGCCAGCTGTTCTATTAATGCTCTTAACTCATTGACCAATTAACAGACACAGCTGGGCCCTGAGTAAGTGCTTGAAACATGAAAATGATGACAAATGCAATACCAACAACAGCTTGTCGGAAACACAGCCTCCAGTTTTCTCTCTTTCCCTAAGACCCATGACTTGGTATAAGAAAAGAGGGATTTGCTTAGTGTTATGTAACTTTCACTTTCTCTCCCCTTCTCTTTTGCTTTCTTTCTTAAACTATCAACAGTATTTGTCCCTAAAGGAATTGCTTCAGTTAGCCTCAGGAAGAATATGCCCTCAGTATATGTTTAAGTGGACACAAAGAGATGGGATTTCGTCGAAAGAGCAAGAGAAGAAGCTAGCACATTTGCCTCCACTGATTTCCTTCACATTAAAGGTGTGTGCTGGCAGGTCAGGTGGTTTATGGAAATGATATTTCATTCCTATGTCCATCGCTGATGACCAGAGCAGTGGTTGGAGAGGGAAAGTACCCAGCTGGGGCTGTTTGCTGAAGGGAGTAATGATGGTGGTGAGGGTGGTGATGATGGTAGTAGCAATGATGTCACATGATGATGGTACTGGTAGTGATGTGTGTCTATGCATGTGTGTCGTAGCAAGTAGTCACATGTCTTATTAAAATGCTTCTGATAATTCTTCAGTAGTTTCTTAGAACCCCGAATTAACACCTCAGACTTTCCTTTTTCTGTTGTTGACCTGCTCTTCCCCTAGGAACCTTGTTTTGGACACTAGACACCAACTTTGATCTTGTTTACCTACAAGAATTTGCTACCCCCACAGATTCTACTTCTGTTGCCTTTCTTATGTCTCTCTTTCCCATTTCCTTTGCTTCTGTAATGATTCTGATTGGTAGAATTTCTCCATCTACACATATTCCATGGGTGGCTTAAACTTTCAAAATCAGCACCTTGGTTTCAACAGCTTCCAACTCACCTACTGAAAAGATATATTCTATAGTTGGAGATGTGTCCTTTGAAGGCCCATGTATTGAGGGCTAGGTCACAACCTCTGTTACTATTGTGATGGGAACTTTAGGAGGGAGACCTTAGTGGGAGGATGTTAGGTCATCTCCTTGAAAGAGATACTTGGTTTCTCTCTTTGCTTCTCAGCCACCATGAAGTGAAAGGCTTCCTCCAATATGTGCTCCTGCCCCAGGCCTATAGGTGATAGGACTGGCATAGCATGGACTGAACCCTCTGAAACTACAAGTCAAAATAACCTTTTTATCTTTTAAGTTGATTATCTCAGGTATTCCACCATGATAACAAAAAGTGACTAACACAATATATAAACTTATCAGTGTGATTGTCAAGGACTTTCACAAGACAGTCACAACCTACCTGTCTGAGCTTCTCTCCTACATGCCAGGATTTTCCTGCCTCTAAGAATTTGTTCAGAATCTCTCTACTTTTAGGAATACCTTCCTAGATATATAGAAATACCTTGTGTCTATAGAAATCCTGTTCTCTATTTGAGACCTTGCCAATGATCCATAAGCAAGCCCTTCAGTTTAGCAAATTCTCCTGGGATGCTCTAGACACAGTGCAAGATGTTGGGAACCAGGGAGGAATAAAGCAGAGTCCCTGGTTCCAGAGGGATCCACACTCTAACAGACAGGGGTGTGTCAACATTCAGATTTCTGTAGAAGAACAGGAAAGGGGTCTCTAACCCAGAACTTATTTGTGAAGTAGAAATGATGTCAAGACAGGTAAGATTACAAAGCAGAAATGATACTTGCGCTAAGTATTAAAGAGCAAGAAA